AAAAAAAAAAAAAAAGAAAAACAAAGGAAGATGCAGCAACTGCTCTCGCATGAACCACCCCCCAAAACATACTCAGTCACCACGGCTGATTAGCTCTCACTCACTCTCCCTCTCAATTCGGCTTTCCTCACGAGTCCAGCGACGGAAGCAGCGCCCTCTTCCACACTGACTCTAACCGCCGCTCGTCCCCGCCGTCCCACACCTTCACAACCGCCAGCGCGAGCTGCCCTTGCGTTGGGTGCACGGCAACCACCTCACATTCAACCACCGCCCCAATTACAACCTCCGGTAGGCTGTGCAGCACCACATGAGCAAACTGTAGCTCAGGAATGTATATGTCCGAGACATACCGGTACTCGTGCCGCCTCTGCTGCCAGCGACCAACAAAAGGCACTGTCCAATGTGCACTCTGTTCAAACGATGTGGAGACATCGTTACAGTGTTCAACGACACCACTGTCGAATCTGAAGCCGCGGCGGGGTGAGTCCACAAAGCGTGTGTACTCTGGCGCGCTTTCCACTCCACGTGTATCACCAACCAGACAAATGAACCGATAATTAGAATCCTTTGTGAGGAGGTTCTTTTCAATGTACCGTAGTAACCAGTAACGCTGGCTGCTGTCCTGTAAAAGACTCGACTGCTCCTGCTTGTTGCTGATCATCGAACACAGTGTAGCCATGGTGTGCTCTGCGATAGGTTGTTCTAGCATAATCTTCGACCTCGTTTTGAGTGAAGAGGAATATGCCGCAGAAGAACCACCACATCCATTTAATGTGTGCCACAGCCATACCTTCAGCTGATGATGTACCAGCATGTCTGCGTAGCGTCGCAGTGGACTTGTACTGTGGGTGTAGTTGTACGTGTCAAGCCCCGCATGGTAAATCGGGGTGTGAAAGTAAACCGCCCGTGTGACGGCGCTCAGTTGCCGAATCGCCTGCTGCATCGCTTCGGCGAAGTAGACATACTGCTGGTCAAGTGACGCCACTACGGCGACGCCCTGTGGCTCGGTGTAGCAGCGCGCCGCCTCGTGGTCTAGCGAGAGCTCACGTGTACCGCGGTACGGGATCGGTAGGTGGTTCGCCTGCGCGACACGAGAACACACTTCGTTGGCAGCGATCATCATTTCCGCAACGGCGAGCCGTGCGTCCTTGGTGGCGACGACTTGATCCTGTACACACAGTACGCGTGTGCCCGCCACCTTGATGAGGGGCTCTGGTAGGTTCGCATCGATGAAGCGCTCGCGGGAGCGCGACTGCCGCGCCTCGAGCCGCTTCCGCGCCGCGCGGTGAATGCAGTGCAATGCCCGGTTGTCCGCTGGCGTCATCCACGCTGCCGCTGCCGCTGCCGCTGCTGCGTCCGTACTTTCTGCGCCGTCGTACAAAGCCTGAACCTCGTCGTACGTGATGCGACGCAGTTGCCGCAGCCAGCCAACTCCCACACTGTAGTTCCGAAGCTCTCCTGTCGTCTCATCGATCTGGAAGCGGATGTTGAACGTGCGGCACGGCCGGTCTTCGCGCAACGTTGCCGCCTCCACGATCGGCTTCGGAAGCATGAAGAAGACGCCCTCTGGAAGGTAAGTTGTCGTGGTGAGCAGCCGCGCCGTGACCTGCTCGAGCGGACTGTCGAATGGGCAATACACCGTGGCATCCGACACGTACACGACAAAGTATTCCTCACCTGTTGATGGATCGGTGTGCACACCAATCGCGTCATCCACCTCCGATGTGGTGGCCGAGTCAATGGCGTACGCCGGGCCATCCATCTGCTCGCGTATGCAGTCGAATGGGTCACCGCCATCCNGCTGGATCTCCTCCGTTAGATGGGCGTGCATGTAGGACAAGGCACTGGGTGGGTAATGCAGCTCACCAGCAAACGAGACACGCCTCAGATTATCACCAGGCTCCACGTAACGCAGCGCCTGCAGGAGCTGCTCCATTTCACGCGGCGATTCCACCCGCTGTGGGACGCCGCGAATGCAGGAGAGCACGCCGTTCAGCTCGTCTAACGCCTCTGTTGAGAGGACACCTTCCCCCGCTGCATACCGCGCGAGGAGGCGAAGAATGCGCCTCTCACTCACGGCGTCGAGCGGTCGCACCGGCAGCGACCACACCTCGCCGAGCATGCGCTGCAGGCGAAGCAGCTCTCTGTCCAACGCCACGCTCTCACGGGGTTTTTGTGCGGAGGATGACGAAACCGCCGCACCACCATCCACCAGTTGGGGATCATAGCGCTGCAGCAGGGAGCCAAGTATAAACTTTCTGGTCCATGACGTGCTGAGATAAGAGCCCGAAAACTGCACGAGTTTGGCTACGCGCCGGGCAGCAGTCATTGTCGTGCTTTCTACTTTTTTTTACCACCGTTTTAGGGGATGAAAATAAGATTAAGAAACCGAAGACAACTAGCGTAAGTCACCTACTTCCCACTAAACACACGCACCACATACATCCATAAATGGGCCCTTCCATGCACATCTCTTGAGGCTACTGTTGTTGTCGTTTGCGGATGCACAACAACAAGAACTGAGCGAGCGACTGCGAGAGAGAGCCAACGAAAGAAATACTATTTTCTTCCTTCTCTCCTCTGATGTTCGTCGTTTCATGGTTCAACTAGTGCGTATGTACGTCGGCGTCCTGCTGGTTGACCCCCAGTTGACGCATTTTTCGAAAATATGCTGCCTTTTGCCGCAGCATCACCAACTCGTCATGCGTGTAGCGACCATCGCCTTCATCGGTGAGTAGACCAAGCGTTGGATTGTGCATGAAGGCCGCTTCGAGCTGTTTAAGGCGGTCCAGAAAGTGAGCAGCCACTCCCCTCGCACGCTCCGCCTGTCGGATATACTCTGGCGAGAGGCGACAGAGCAGGTTGTGCCGCTTTTGTTCCACGTGTGTGATCCAGTCGCCCAGGTGGTAGTAGCGGCGGACTAGATACGCATCATACACTGACTTCACAGTCGGATGCAGCTCTGCGTACACGCGGTCCAACTCAACAGCGATTTTTTCACGTTCCTTCTTTACGTGGGCAATATTTGCATGAAATCGCGGGTGAAGTGGATCGTCGTGAAGCTCCTGCAACTTATCGGCGAGGTCGCCATAGTACTCGTAGCAGCTCTGCAGACATTTCTGCAGAAGCGGGTGACTGATGTTGAGTTGCACGTTGGGATGCTCGTTGGTCGGTGGGTACTGCATGTGTCGCTGCAGGTACGTGGTGCTGTAGCCATCCCACTGCTCCGTGTTGAGCCACTGCTGCTGGTCACCTTTGGTGCGGGGGAGCGAGTCGACGCCGTCCGGCTGCACAATATGCGGGTTATGCAGGTAGCGGTGGAACTGATCACTGGCCTGACAGCGACGCGCAGTGAGAAGCGGAACCAACTGCGACGATGATCCGGCGGAGACAGCAGCGGTGCACCGTGTGAGGGTGCACGCACAAGCGACGCGAAGGCCACTGGGCATCCCCCACCCCTCCCCAATGAGATGCTCCTTTGCTTGCTAATGTAATACACACCACAGCCAGCAATACGGGAACAAAACGAAGAGTAACGAGAAAAAAAAAGGAGTACGTGGGATGGAACATGCCCCACTCTACGCTCATTCGCCTTCACTCTTCGACTCATCTCAGCATCTTCATCTCCCTCCCATCCTTCGCAAGGGTGATGTGACTGAAAACCTCCACTCACCACGGCTAGTACCCCTCGCTACTCCTATAACACGCACTACATCTCCCCCCTTTTCCCCACCAGCCCCTTTTCCTCCCATTGAAGTTGCCCTTCACCTTAATACTGCTGTTTCCGTTATGCTACTCTCTTCAAACTCTGTTTCTACACCTTCTCCGCCGCGTTGTGGCGTGGAGCGTTGGGGCGGCGGAAGAACACATCGCGGTGACCCATCTCCTTCGTCTGCTTTGCGTCGTGGAAATGCGAGTAGATATCATTGAAGGGAGTGTAGTACTTCATTGACTGTGGGTTCTCCGTTGTGCCTGCACTTTCCCACATCTGCTGCAACAGGTCGTCCCATACGGCGCGCCCAATGTTCCACGCCGCTTGGTCAGAGCGGGGGCGGCGCCACTCGCCGTATTCACCAACCATGCGCAAGATTGGCTTGCGGCTTGCGAGCGGGGCATCCCACGCATTACTGAAGGCAAAGGGGCTGTCGCCATCCATTTTGAAGCGCTGCGCGCGGAAGATACCGTGTCCCTGGGAGATAGTCATGCTCTCCACAACATTCTGGTGCACCCGCATACGCGCCTCCCGTGTATGACGGCGTACCCAGTTAGGCAAGAAAAAACCTTTGAACTGAATTCCACGCGCAATCGCATCCATGTTCGCTATCTGCATTGGCTTCCCGCTCGTGCTACCGTACGTGACACAGACTCCATTGTCACCTAGTAGGTTTACAAGACTAGACGCATAGTTGCCACAGGTGTGGTTCAACAGCAACTTTGGTGGTGGAACATCAGAGAGAAGGCGACGCATGTAGTTGGTGCGCACGTAGTTATACGGTACGACAGCGAAGGCACCACGCAACTTGAAGAATGCCACCAAATGCGCATGCTCCGTGCGGCCGAGCTGCATCGTCTGAAACAACTTCGCCCCCCGTGCGCGGATGTAACCCTGGCAGATCTGCGCGATGGAGGAGGAGGCGCCCGTCTGCAGCACCACATCATTAGGCTGAAGATTCACGAAGCTGTTCGTCAGGTGATACGCGGTGTGGAAGAGCGACAGCGCGGAGAGGTACTCCACATCAACGTCAGCGCGGTTCGGCACAACGTCTAAGTTGTCCACGTCTGTGACGATGTGCGTCGCCCACGTGCCGACCGTTGGATTGTTGACCCACACGAGGTCCCCCTCACGCAGCGCGAGTGTTGCACCGGCGCCGACCTCCTCGACGACACCAACGCCCTCGACTCCAGCGACCTGCGGGAACGCCGGCGGTCGCACGGGGCCGCAGTGACCGGCAATCATGTTGCGATCGTGTCGGTGCACCGGCGCGGCCAACATCTTCACCACCGCCTGCGCCCCGCCGCGGTCGAACGGCACGCGGAAACGCTCGTACTGCAGCACCTTCTCCGGCTTGCCGTGCTTGTGGTAACGCCACCCCGCGGCAGCAACCGCGCGCACCATCGGCAGGCCCAACAGAACGTGCGAGCGCTGCATCTTTTGTTCTTTTGTCCCTCCTGTGTTTCTTTTTGTTTCCACTCCCTCCTTTCTTCGGGTTCTACTTCGCCGGAGCGCCTACTGAGAATGATATCACCGCCGCAGCCGCTGCGTCTCAGTTGCACCTGCGCCCCTTGCCACTTCTAGAGGAAAACACCCACTCTCACCCTGCTTCTGATGAGGACTGAAAAGGGTAAGAAACAGTAGTAAAGCCGAAGAAATGGGAGTATGGAAAAAAAAAATGTAAATACCTTGTAGCACTAAAAAAGGGCAACTCTCACCCAACGCTTAGAATGAGATCTTGACACACCACTTGTTCATCCATCCGCAGTCATGTACATGAGGCAAGTGCCCTGCGCCAATGTCCGTGTGAATTACATGTGCACGCAACAGCAGCATCAGCAGCTCAGGGCGAGTAGGAAGAGAATAATAATAAACAGCACACAGAATGGAAACGCCTCACCTTGATGCATCGCTACGACGCCCCTCGATCGCATTTTGGGATGCCGACGGCTGCAGCCCGGTGTGTCGCAGCGCGGCGCTCGCTTCCTGCGTCACCGCCTGCAGCTGTTCCGTCCACAGCGACGTGGGCGGATGCAGTGCGACTTCTCGCGAGCTGCGGCGCGGCGGCGTCGGCGGTCGTTGCGTGGCTGGCCAATGCTTCTCCGATGCCACACTACGCTCGCATGCGACGGATAAGCCGGCCACAATTGGCGGGAGCATCGGGATGCTGTTTGCCGCTGGAGTCGGTTTGGGGTCAGGACGAGAGAAGCTGTTCCTACCGCCGCTGCCGATGCTATCTCTCCACATACTCTCTGAGAATTTGACCAGCGCCGCGGTAGCAGCTGCGATGCTTCCGGAATTATTGCTGGTGCCAGCGGTGGTATTAGTGGCAGTCGCGGCATTGTTGCTACTGCTGGTCGCGCCCATGGCGTTAAGAGCACCAAACGGGATGGAAGCCGGCCGGCCAACGTAGCCTTCTTGCTGCTGCTGCAGCAGCATCGACCTGCTCGCCTCCTCCACACCACTCTCGAGGACCACCTCTTCTCCTGTTGTGGTTGTTCCCGCTGCTGCAGGAGCGACCCCCACTGCTGACGTGACCGCCGAACCGAAGAAACGCCCTGAAGATGTCTCTTCACCCGCAGCTCCCATTTCCAACCGGTTGCCATCTGCTTCCAGAATCTGCTCCCATCGCTCTTCGATGTCACGGCGCCTCAGCTGCTGCGCCTGTTGGTCGCGTGTGCGTTCATCCGCGAGTTTCTCTGTCAACTGTTTGTTCTGCCGCTGCAGCTCCGTGAGAGTCTTGGTAAGTTCCTCCAGTTGCCGCTGCATGAGCGTGCGATGCTGCATCAGCTTGTCGATATCCGCCTCCTCTGGCTTCGAATCGATGATGCCTCCTAGTGGGACCTCTTTTTTGTTTTTTACAGCCTCTAGGAATTCTGCCTCACGCGCATTCTCCTCCATCAGTGAGAGTAAAGCTTTTGGGAAGTTGAGGCCGGATATATGCTCCAGCAGGGCGACCTCCGTGTGGTACGTGTCGAAGCGGTACGCAACACGGATGTCGGAGAGGTGTGTACGAGATGCGTCATTGCTTCTACTGCTCGAGAGAAAATAAAGATCCCCGAGGCGCTCCCTTTTGAAGGCAGCGTCAAATCCGGAGAGCAGCACGCTGTTACGAGCAATTTCGCACATGTCATTCGGCCCGAGCTTCCACACCTTGGAGGCGATGGAGTACTCCTCCAGGAGCGGCTCCTGCGTGTGATGGAACATAAGTGGGCTGTCGGTGCTCAGCGAGACCATCAGACCGCGGCGGAAGAAGTGCGGGAACGGATTGTCGAGATAGCCAAGTACTTTGGTGTTGTTACTCAGTGGGCTCACCGTCACCCCGATACGCGCAAGGTAGAAGAGATACTGCAGCGGCGCGTCGTCAGCAAGCGTGACACCATAGTTGATCGCATTAGCGAGGAGGAAGCCACCGATAAGGTGGTCGACTGCCCCGGTCTCGCCGCAGCTCGGGCGGAACGTAAAGGTTGAAAAGTTGCGCCGCCGCCTGAACTCGTTGAGCGAGTAGATGTTCGCCCACATGTGGTACATGTAGTAGTTGAACGGAGGCTCCTCCTCGCTGGTCCACTCGTGTGGTGCTTTCGTTGCCATATTGAGTGGTGTGTCGGGACGGCGCTCATCCTCGACGCAGTCAAAGCCAGAGATGTGATTGACGAAGTGGAACAGGCGCGGGTCTTTGCTTGGGTGCAAGGAGACGGCCCACAGCGGCTTGAATATGTTTTCCAGGTACTCGGCGAAGCTTTGAATCTTGCCGCGTTTGCGCAAGTAGCTGTAGATGCGCGGGACCTGCACCATCCACTGGTTGTGGAAGGATGCCATGCCGTGTGTGTCGAACCAATCGGAGAGTAGTCCCCACTCCTTGTCACTTGCGCCGTAAATTGGTAGGCGGTTTTCTGTAAAGGTGAAGCGGTCGTGCTTGAAGTTCTCAAACGTCAGCTTGGTCAGCTCAGCAAAGTAGCGCCCCTTCATTTGATTGTCCGTCTTGAGCAACAGCGTGAGCAGTTCGTCGCGGCCCTCCGGTGTGTACTGCGCACTCGCCACCCCGAGTGTCGCGTCCACTTGTACGCTAAGGTCGTCAACGGTGAGTGTGTTGGGGGAAATCTGCAACTCCTGCAGTAACTGCCGCAGCGTCTGCGGCTCCTTTCCCTTTTGATGCGCCACAATATCGTCGCCATTGTTGTTCGCCTTTGACACAATGAAGTTCAGAAGGTGCCGTGCTGTCATGCCAGTTTCCATGCGAACATTGTTGTCCACCTTTGTCGCTTGGTAGAAGTCACGATTTTGTGAAGCTTTCTTTGCCGTTGTGCCTGCCTCGAGGCTGCGGTTAACGGCGAGGTGAAGCATGAATTTATGCTCCAGAAGTTCCAGTCGCCTCGTCGAAAAGTTGCGCACATGAATGTTTTCCAGAATCATACGCAGCTCCTGCACGTGCGATCGGAAATCGTCATAGTGGAACATATCCTTTGGGAGCCGCGGGATCTGGTGCACCTCGTGCGGTACAAGAACACCCTCAACAGTTTTAAACATCCATTCATCTTCGTCAAAGGCGTCGTCACGGCGAAAGGCGTTTTCAATCTCGTTGGCGTTCAGTATTTCCTTACCAGAGCCAGCGTCACCCGCACGGTTCTGGCGGACATATTGCGACCGCAGCTCCAGCGCGCGGTGCAGCAACTGCGCCACCATCGTATGTGAGGGATCGCGTTCGAACGGCCCAACGAAGACTACCCGTGGGAAGTCAATGTGGGGATCCAGCACAATGAAGGGCACTTGACTCGAGGGCACGACTGTAACAGCTGGCACGGAGCCAACACCGCATCCGTCAGTGCCGCCAAAAACATTGGCGATGGGGGTGGCACCAACACCGGGAGTAGTAGGGGTAGTAGATAAAGCAGTATTAATAGTAGCAGCAAGAGAAACAGGAGTTGAACTGTTCACACAACCACGTTCCTCCCCCAGCACATGCTGCCGCGCTGCCTCGAAGATGATCTGCAGCTCAGTCTGCCACATATCCTGCCGCAACTCCAGACGCGCTGTTGGCACTTTGCTGATCTCGAACACGTTCCCCTTTATACCTTCCTGCAGGAAGGCCTCACCTAACCATGCCGCCTTTGTGTCTACTGGAAAGGACGACATTGTCACGGAGTTCAACGCAATCTCACAGACGTCAATGCTAGAAAGCTGGTAAAGCTTACTCGCCGTGCCGTACTCCTCAATAATTGGCTCCTTGGAGTGGTGAAATAGCAAAGGCCGATCAGTACTCAACGAGACATTCAGTCCACGGCGAAAGAAGACAGGAAAAGGGTTCTGCATGTAGCGGAGACCCAGGCCATTGTTGCTAAGAGGCGACATTGTCACGCCAATTCGCTGAATGCCGTATAAATATTGTAGCACTGGTTGATGCTCGAGGACGACGGCGTTAGCGACGCTGTCACAGAGTAGATAGGAGTAGACCAGGACATCCAATTGGCTGCTACGACCTCCAGCAATGGCGCGCAGCTGCAGTGTGTTGAGCCCCTTGCGTCGCCGGAACGCATTGAGGGAGCAGAGGTTTGCCCATATGTTGTAGGCGAAGTACAAGTCACACATGTTCTCTGACCACGGCACCTCCGCCGGGCGCCGCAGCTTGCGCTGAAAGTCACTTTCACGCTCCTCCTCATCGGACACAATCACGAATCCACCGACGCATGCAAGGAAGGATGCCAGCTGCGTGTTCTTCGGGTCTTCGGGCGCCAGCGTTGCCATGAAGAGCGGCAGGAATATGTTTTCGAGGTGCTGCTGGTGGTGCTCAAAGGTGTCCTTTGTCGTCTCCTTGCGTATCTGCCGTCGCGGCAGCGCGATGAGCCATTGATTGTGCCGCTGCTCTGCAAGGCCGTGCTCGTGGATCCAGTGCGCCATCTTTTCCCAGTCGTCAGAGGTAAGGCCGCACATCTCAATGATGCTCTCCGTTGCTTGGATACTGCGCTGCCGCAGGTCGTTGAGCTCCAGAATGGGCCGTACAGCATCAGCAAAGTACCGCCCCTTGTTCAACGTGTCGGGTGTAAGGAAGAGGCGCAGCAACTCTGCACTGTTTCGACCAGCTCGGTTCAGCTCAGTGTCGAGCACGTCGTAGCGGTACAATCGCTTTTCATTGGGTGGAAGCAAGCCGAGACCGTCCACAGTGAGCTGAGTTGGGTCGGCAAAGTCCATCTGCTCACAGGCAGCTTGCAACTTCTGCGGCTCATTGTTGTCGCTGGCAAGGCGTACCACCTCTTCCCCCTCGTGCTCGAGCGTATCTTGGATGTACTCCAGCAGCCACTGCGCATTCATGATGGATGCGAGATAGACACCATTGTCGACCTTGGTGCAGTCGGCAAAGACACCACCATTCCGGCGATAGCGATCGGAGTTCTCAATCTCATTGTTACACAACTTGTACAAGTTGTACTTCTCCTCCAGCACCTGCAGCCTGTGCGAGGTTGCGCCGCAGCAGATGGGGTGCTGCAGCGCCACATACAACGCGGTGACGTCATCGTAGAACTGCTCCCATGGCACGATACGTGTGCGCTGGTCACTGAACTGAATGACACCAGACTCGAAGGAGAGCACCACCGGCGGTATGAGCCGCTCCGTCCCTTCGTGCTGCCCCTTGTCAACCGCCTTGTACTTTTCACGCATCCGCACGGCACCGAGGAGGTACTGGCTGGCCGCCTGCACCTCAATGCCACCCGTATCACCCTCGAGCTGTACAGCGTACACATTGTGCTTCGGCGATGTGTAACGCGTGGTATTCACCAACGACCCTCTGCGCCGCATTGAGCGTCGCCGGTGGGCGCTTGACGACAGCGCCGTCGCCCCACTGCTGGCTGGCGGTACCATCTGCACCAGCCCGCTGCCTGCACGCTCGCGCTGCGTGTTAGGGAGGCGACTGCTGCCGGCCCTGAAGTTCGTGGTGGTGGCGTCGCACACCGCTACTTGGGCCGCTCCACCGCCAGCGCCGCTTCCGCTTCCCTCGACAACCGGTGTGTGTGGCGAGTCACGAGGGTGCGGCTCTTCGTCTCGCATCGACGGCGACAGTGCTGCATCAGAGTCCTCGACAAGACTTACGTGTCGCCGCTCCATCTTTTGGTCCGCCCTTTCCACTCTTATCTAAAATGCGTGTACAAACGTGAAAATTAATAAAGGAGTGGGGAGGAAACTAATAATAATAATAATAATAATAATAATAATAATAATAATAATATGTAACAATAATAATAATAACAACAATAAACAGATTTTGCGAACACTCACGAGTCGAAAAGGCACCACATCAGGGGAAACATCAGAGGCCAAAACTTCGGGCAATGAACACTGCCAATTAGGAGTTTCCTCATGAACAGTTAATGCCTTAGATATCTGTGACGCCAACCTCGGCGATGCCCGCATCCATGTACCGTGCCGGCTTCCTTGCATGCGGCGGTATCGACTTCGCGCCACCGCAGCTGTGATCAATATCGATAGGACACTCCCACACAGACCGACCCGTGAGGAGGACCTCGCGGTCCACGTAATCAACAACGTTGCTATAATTATACCGCACAATTTCTGCCAGATGCTTCCGCGTGTAGGTGCTATATTCGTACTTCCACTCAGGGACGTGTGGCCACTTCATGAGCGTTTCCTCCCGCGCCGCCTCGCGCCGCAGCGCCTCGAGGTAGACAGGATCCACTTTTGCGTACGGCTGCGGCTCGCGCAGGTGCTCAGCAAGACCAAGCACCTTTGCTCCATCAATGGCGGTGATGTCGAGTGATTGTGCGTATGCGAGGCCGTCTTTGCGGTCGTATGTGATGTATGCTTCCCATGGGCCTTCGATCTCGTCCGGGTGCGTTGGCCGTGGCACATCCTCGGCACTTGCGTAGCGTGGTGGCTGCAGAGTGACGTTCGGGAAATAGCCAAGCTGGACGACGGTGCGCGCGAGGTATGAGCCACGCTCCACCTTGAGCCGCTCGAGGGGATTTTTCGGCGGAAGCGGCTTCTGTTTGCTCGGTGGAACCGGCACGCAGGCTGCCACGATCACTCCATCATCTCGTCCCTTCCTACTATCATTGCTAGTGCCACCACTATCATCATCGTTATTATTATTATTACTACTACTACTACTACTGCCAGTGCCGCTGGTGCTCATGCTATTGTCATTGTCCCTTCCAGCCTTCTCAACAATGGCGTCGTTGGCGAACACGCCAGGTGCCAGTTCCACATTGGCATAGTCGTACACGCTAGACCTCGCTGCCCACTGATGGTATCCCTTCACGTCGCTCTTTTCCGCCATGTACTGCGTCCACAGCTTCTCGGCCTCCTCCTTCCGCTGCAGCACCTCGTCCGGCAGCTTCAACTCCACTCGCACTATCCCCTTATGCGGCTCAAACACATCGTATCGGCCGAACAATTCACGCAAGCGGTCCGGCTCAACACGGCGGCTGAGCATCACCTTAACAACAACGGTTGAGTCGTGCGCGCCGGGCGGTGGTGGCGGCCCTGGCGGGTAACGGTAGACACCGCGTTCCAACCGCTCGCGAAAGATCTTGACAGCCCGCGCCGTGGCCTCCACGTCACGCTCCTTCACGACACGCTTGATGTTGCGCATCGACTCCTGCACCATTTTGAGCCGCGATGGCGCTGGCATCGCGCCGAGCTCTTCCTGATGCCGTAGGTAGTGCTCCTTTGTAGACTGCAGCATGTTGCGCTCCTTAACGAGGAGAAACCAGATCTGCTGGAGGTCGGCGAGGCTCTTCCCGCGGAGGCTCTCAAGTGGCCACGCCCCACCCGGTATCGGCGGCCGTTTGTTGTTGAGAAAATTATTATCGACAAACTCGTAGAACGCCGCCGCACTCCTGGTGAGTCGACTGCGACGCATTCTTATTGTTGTTTCTTTCTATCTCTGGGGCCCTCTGAGTAAACACAATCTCACACCATTCACAGAGTGGAGCAAAAAAGTTCATTCACGTAGGAAGCCAATGTCAGAGTATGCGAGCATGAACAAAAAAAATCCAAGAAGATGCTGATAGTCGCAATTAGACGGTGCTCGAAAGAGAAGGCTTTGCGTAATGCACACGTTCCGCCTGATTCCTCCCTTTCTTCTCTCCAGTTTAAGACACAAACATCTTCCGGCACATCTCGCGCTCCTTCACCTTCGCCTCCTCCTTCGCCAAGCGTATTTCCTCGCGCAAATTGGCCACTTCGGTGTCCGGCGGCACCCCCGTCGCCCGCGCGTTACTCTCCACCGCATCGACGTCCGCCACCGCCTCCGCCGTTTTGCCAAGACGCAGGTAACAGCTAGCGCGACGCAACAGCGCCTTTGCGTCGGAGCCGTGTCCAGGCAGTGCGAGGACACTCGTCGCGCATTCCACCCCTTTCGCATAGCGGCCAAGTTTCAAATGTACAAGTGCTAAGTTGTTCTGCACGGCGGCATTGAGATTGGTGAATTCGGCCAAACGCTCTTGACTGAGTGGAAACTGCGTGGCTGCGCGCCTTTGTTTTGTCAGCATGCACAAGAAGCTGTCCTTCTCCAGGTTGCCCCCGGTAGGAGCGCAGCCCGACAATAACAGAGACGCCTTCTTGTAGTGAAACGAGGCCTCGCGCAGCTTCCCCACTTTCACGGCGGCGTTTCCTTCATCCTTGGCGGCCTGTGCCCCACTCAAGCATCGCTCATACTCTTCGTCCTGTAGCAGGGGCTCCGCCTCTTGCGCCTGACTCATTCCTTGACCTTGTTTTCCTTCTTGGCTTGAGCGAGAAAAACAGCTGACTTCCACAAATTGAGCAGCGCCTGTAGGCGTGTGTGGACGTATATATCCGTATGAATTGTGGCACCCTTAGTTCCACCCCTCCCTGGACACCACATTAGGCTCATGGCGAAGTTGCACTCAATCGCATTCCCTCCCTCTCTTCCAGTAGCCGTAATGCACGCCGCATGTCGCTTGGCAATGGACACTCCACAACAGTTTTCTCCCCGCCAATAGCGTCAAAACCAGCTGCGGGGGAGGATAATAAAGTGATGCGGGAGGCGTGCAGCGCGGGTCGCTGGAGGCCCAGCTGCTCCCCCACCGACTTCGCCCGCTCGTGGTAGCGGCCATCGCCAACTAGTGGATGCCACAACTGCGCGAAATGCTGACGAATTTGGTGCCTGCGCCCGGAGCGCAGTTGCACCTCCACATCATATACCCCACTTCTGGGGAAATACTGCAGAACACGGTACATCGTCGTCGCCGGGCGAAGGTCCATCCACGCCACTGGGAGCCCTCCTCGCTGGGCGGGATCATGGGCAGCGAGCTGCAAAGAGTAATCCGCTCCGTTGGCGAGCACACTGCGCGTAATGGTACCGGTGGGGTTGAGGTACCAGCACTCCTCAGTACCCATTCGCGACGCCGGTGGCGGACAGTGAAGCAAAAGGGCCCGGTAGGTCTTCTCCACCCGCTGATCCACCACACTGGCTCGCCGTGCCGCCATGAGGGACGCCTCGGTGTCGGACACAAGCACCAGGCCGCTCGTTCCCACGTCGATGCGATTGATGAGACCATGCTGAAATAGAATTGGTGTGCTGGCCCCCCGCCACGGCACATGCCGTGCCAGAAAACCGATCAGATGTGGGTAACCCGCGTGGAGAGTTGTGCTCATCTCCGCAGGCTTTCGGACTGCAATGAGATCCATCGGCAAATTACGTGCGACAATGGCGGGGCTTCTGTCTGATTCTTCCTCTTTCTCCAACTGAGGTGGGGCTGCCATTTCGCAACTCTGGCGCTTCTCCTGAGATTCAAAAAATCGCAATGCCTCATCAAGATCCACCGTCATGAGACAAAGACGAAGTTCCGGCACGTGAAACGACACCGTCGGCTGTTGGCGGCGCCGTTCAATACGGAAGAAAGCCTCCTGGGTTGTTGTAGGGTACTTTGTTACTTGGCGAAGGGAGCGGCCCACCAGTAGCGCTTCCGCACCATCCCAGTCCGCTGTCCACTCCACTGCCGCAGAAGCAATGTAACGTTCGTTGTAGACACCCTTGAAGTACGACGCGGCACCGAAAGCCCGGTCAGCGGGAAGAATGAAGTACACGAGTCCAAGCGCACGTATTACATCTCCCCTCGCCGCTGTTGTTTCCCCTTTGTTAGCCGCGAGGTGTGGGAGAACAACTGCTGTGAGCAGCGCAGCAGCTGCCTCTGGGGCAAGAAGGGGCGGTCCGTATTCATTCACCTCCTTTACGAGAATCTGCAACAAACCTTCGAGCGTTTCCACCTTGCTGCAGTTCTCAATCCATGTGGAGACGTGGTAGTTCCGTAGACTCGCAGATTTGCTCGTAAAGAATTCCTTCCGCATGGTGGCATCAGAGCGCAGCCTTTCAAAAGCGGCGAGAGCCTTCGGCGACAGGCAAGAAAAGGATGACTCCACATCCTCCGCCGCATCTGGTGAACCCCACCACAGCTGACGGCACACGGACTCGGTAGGGACACGCCGCCCACCAAGCAAGTCGTAGAAGTGACGGAGTGACGGGGGGCAGAAGAGGGTCCGCACCGCCACACGCATCACCACAGGGGGGGCCAGCAGGCTCCCAAGCTGCACGACGAGCTCTGTGCAATACTCCTGAAACGCCGCATAGTCTGCAACTGGCGAGAAGAGAGTGTACAGAATTCTTGAGCGGACGCGTTCGAGGGGCTCGCTGAGATTCTCCATCCCTTGTAGCTGTTGCTCCGCAACAGCAGCAATTGTGCAAAGAAGAAGCCACGGAGCAAGCTCCTTCGCGGGGCAGCGCCGCAGGTACGGCAGCTTCGACACACCCGTGCCTTCGAAGCGCACGAGTGAATGCGGTACGTGCCGGGGTAGCTGGCGGAGAATCCACAGCTTGTGTCGCAGCTCCACCACCGCGGCATCAGGGGATCCGGCTGACTTTTTCTGTCGGTACTCGTCCTCTGCGACGGCGACACCGCGCCCGCATCGCAGGCCCGGCGTCAGGGGCCGCTGCAGCAGCGCCGTCTCTGTTGGCGTCGCAGCAGCGAAGTGATGCGCACGCGGAAGCCGCCCAAGT